CTTTAAAGAGCCCCTCCGGAGAGCTGGGGGAGCCAGAATGACCTCTTGCATGTGATGCCGCTCGGACATCACATGCGAGAGATGGAATTTGCCCCTACGAGTCCAAGGACACCACCCCGGGGCTCAGGGAGGCAAGGGAATGTTTCACCCCGCCCCTCCCCCCCGCATGGGCATTGCAGCTGCCGCCGAGAACAGCGACGGCGGCCATAACTGTTTAAAGAGCCCCTCCCGAGAGCTGGGGGAGCCAGAATGACCTCTCGTGTTTGATGTCTGAGGGGCAACGCCACTCAGACATCACACGCGAGAGGTGGAATTTGCCCCTACGAGTCCAAGGTCACCACCCCGGGGCTCAGGGAGGCAAGGAAACATTTCACCCCACCCCTTCCCCCCGCGCGGGCATCACAGCTGCTGCCAAGAACAGCAACAGCGGCCACAATTTTTTAAAAAGCCCCTCCCGAGAGCTGGGGGAGCCAGAATGGCCTCTCGCGTGTGATGTCCGGTGGAATTTGCCCCTACGAGTCCAAGGCCACCACCCTGGGGCTCAGGGACCCAAGGGAACGTTTTGCCCCACCCCTCCCCCTGCGCGGGTGTCGCAGCTGCCATCGAGAACAGAAACGGCAGCCATAACTTTTTAAAGAGCCCCTCCCGAGAGCTGGGGGAGCCAGAATGACTTCTCATGTGTGATGTCCGAGGGGCTCAGGGAGGCAACGCCGCTCGGACATCACACCGAGAGGTGGAATTTGTCCCTACGAGTCCAAGGCCACCGCTCTGGGGCTCAGGGAGGCAGGAGAACTTTTCACCCCGCCCCCCGTGGGTGTTGCAGCTTCCGCTGAGAACAGCAGCGGCTGCCATAACTTTTTAAAGAGCCCCTGAGGAGAGCTGGGGGAGCCAGAATGACCTCTCACATGAGAGGTGGAATTTGCCCCTATGAGTCCAAGGCCACCACTCTGGGGCTCAGGGAGGTAGGAGAACGTTTCACCCTGCCCCCCCCCATGGGCTTCGCAGTTGTTGCTGAGAACAGCGGCGGCAGCCATAACTTTTTAAGGATCCCCGAAGGAGAGCTGGGGGAGCCAGAATGACCTCTCACATGAGAGGTGGAATTTGCCCCTATGAGTCCAAGGCCACCACCCTGGGGCTCAGGGAGGCGGATGAATGTTTCGCCTCCCCCCCACTGTGTCCCAACTGATGACTGGTGGGAGCAGGGGGCGTGGCTTATGTGCCTGTCCCCTGGGCTCCTGAATGGCGGAGCAGTGCTCCGGTGCACTCCGGCAGTAACCGAGGCCTGTATACCACTGACACACTGCTCATTATATGCTGTTTCTACACAGAGACAATTGTTCATATAGCTCTTGCTGCAGGTGCTGCTGCTGTGAATGCAGAGTCATTTGCAGTGGTTACAAAGTTGCCCAGCTGTATTTCCAGCATTTTTTTTGTCTCAGTCTGTTGTACCTGCTATCCTCCTGCCACCAGGCTTTTTTTAAATGGGCCTTTAAAAATCTTAATTGATGCATTGCTAATGCACAATAATGTTATAATAATCTACTGCATCAATATACTGGTTCCCAGAATTCATTTTTTTCAAAATAAAGCCCTTTTTACTGTAGAGCTATAAGAGGAAAAGGTGCAATATGAACATCCCCCTTTTCTCAATGAAAAGGACTAAAGAATTACCTTTTTACAAAATGGAAGGCTGGATCTAATACATTGTTGCAATATTATCACAGCAATCTCTTAATTGCTGATTATAATTTTTTTTAAAAAAAAACCCAGCTGCTAACATGTTAGACTGCCACTGGTGGGCTTCTAGGGCTTTTTTGGGGGGGCTCTTTTTGTAGCAGGTACTCATTTGCATATTAAGTGACACACCCCTAATGTAGCCAATCCTCCAAGAGCTTACAGTAGCTCCTGTAAGAAGAGCTCTGTAACCTTTTGGAGGATTGGCTACATTAGAAGGTGTGGCTTAATATGCAAAGGAGTTCCTGCTACAAAAAGAGCCCGGGGGGGGGGGTAAAAAAAAATCTGCATTTCCTATCTTGAATGAAGCAGTGATACCCACCTCCATGAGCATGCTGGATGAATAAAGGTTTGCTTTTTATGTTTTACCCAATCATCATATTTCCTTGCCGTAATCCATGACCTGTGCATGTAAAGCTTATAATAAGTACAAAATATTTGTTCATATAGTCCATAATATATTTTTTACAGATGCTTAAATCCAAATTCGTTTCGAAGCGTCTTTTTCAAACATCAAACCTCCTAGCAAGAAACATTGCTAGGAGGTTTGATGTTTGAAAAAGACGCTTCGAAACGAATATCAGCTCTGGAGGAGTTCGTCCACATCAGTGTACCATACCATTGGATTTAAGCATCTGTAAAAAATATATTATGGACTATATGAACAAATATTTTGTACTTATTATAAGCTTTACATGCACAGATTGCAGTAGCTCTATTTGTTATTCATCATTATCATACTGCAAACACCCCCCCCATACCTTTTTGTAATCCATGACCTGACAAGGTTTCTTTTTAATTTCCGTAATGAATAATGATCACCTATTTATTTTTATTTTAAAAAATCATCAGTCACTTTTGTCACTCAAGGTAGCTCACTGTAAAAATAACACTTCAGTAAACAAATAAACAAAGCGCTAGTCTTAAAGCATCAAATAAAATGTTACTAGGTTGCAATATACAATTAAAAATTGAGCTTTTCTTAAAATCTCCCAGTAAAACACAGCAAGTTCCAATATACGATTCACCAAAATAAAACTAGACAACTGTTTAAAAATCTTCATACACTATTTTGTTATAGAATGTATATTAATCTGTTGTGGAATTGTGTTTGTCTTCTTTCTGCAGATGGGCAAAAGAAAGTTCAAGAGGATTTTGATATAGACATGGATGCACCAGAGACAGAGAAGGCTGCAGTGGCAATACAGTCTCAGTTCAGAAAATTCCAAAAGAAAAAGACTGGCTCCCAGTCTTAGTAGCTACCTCACAGTTTCAGCATCACCACTTCCTGATCTGACAGGAAATGAACAAACAAACAAACTAGATGCATGTACAGAAATTATCTCTATTTAAAACTCCATTGGAAGGTATTAAAACTATAAAGCTTATGTGTGGCATAATCTCTGTGTAACTCCATTCTCATTGCTTCTGTAACTCACGGTTTTACTTGATGTTAAAATAAAATGTTAGGATGAAGTTACTCCAACTGTCAGCCTTGACCTGTCTTGTTACATTAATCCAGCAAACCTAGTGTTACAAATTAAAACAGTCCAGATGCCTATTTTCCTCTTCACCTAAAGGTTGGAGAGACAGCACCTTATGTTATCAACTTATCTCTTTCTCTTTTTGCTGAGAAATGAGAGCATAAACATTTTTCAGGTTTCCTCATTTGGTGAGTCCAGAAGTCAGCCATATGTGATAACTGACAATATTTTCCCTTAATGAGGTGAAACTGCAAAATGCCATGGACAGCTAATTATGCTGGGTGGAGTGTGTGGGGTATGTGTGTGTGTGAATGTATATCTGAGAAAGCTGTCTCATGTTCTAGAGGATACTATGGATCCACTGAAACAGTTTACTCTCAGGGTATCCAACATTCAGTATGGCCCCAAGAAAGAGTAATATTTCCTGGACAGAATAATTTCTTATATATATGGAAACACCAATAAATAGATGGATCTTCCCTGCCCTAAAGGGTTTCAGTTTCTTCAGTGGAGGCAAAGATCTGTATGCAGAAAAGGAGGCTGTATAAGATCCATATGCAGAAAAGGAGGCTGTATACTGTATTGAGGGGAGAAGCTTCATAAGAGAGTGCCTGCCTCACATGCAGGAGGTCTCCACTTCAATCACCAGCATCTCCAGTTAAAAGGACCAGGTAGTAAGTGATGTGAAATACCTGCCTAAGACCCTGGAGAGTTGCTTCCAGTCTGAGTAGACAAATATTGACTTGATGGACCAAGGGTCTGGATCAGTACAAGGCAGTTTCATGTGTTCCTGTGAGCTGAACTGGAAGCTTTTATGGAGAAGGGAGTTCCATGCACAAAATCATGTGGAAGTTTAAATCAAGGAAAAACATATCTCTTTTTAGATTAAACACACAATGTGTCAAATACTGTCTTCTAGATGTCCAAGAACTTTGAATTGTAAGAACAGCTTGGGACATTGTAAAGATTCTAGGGGATCAGAGAGGCATGATAGCTGCTCTGCTGATGCATTAAAAAGGAATGTGTATAATTTAATTTTTGCAAGCTGTTTATGTAACTGGCACTTGTGCTTTTACCTTTGCAGATTGTTTTCCTGTATTATGCCAGAAATAATGGCAGACAAAGCACAACTCAGTAGATTTCCCCCTCTTTCATTCCAGCTGATAAGCCACTATTTTGCATTATATAAGAAGTAAAGTACAGATGTCTAAACTTAAAAACCAACTAAAATAGAGTTGGTGACATCAACATGTATTCCTTGCCTCTCTGCTCTTGCTGCCATCTAAAATGCTCCCCCCCCAATTCTGCCCCCAGGGGACAGGAGAGCCCCTTGGGACACCAAGAGGGGAAGTCAGAGGGCAGCTGCAGCAGGGGGCAACCAGCAAGAATCGCCCCTTCTTCTCTCAGTGGACATTTTCTGTTGAACCCTAACCCATACGTTCTGAACTGAATGTTGTCCTTTTTGCCAAAACAGAAAACAATGGTTTAAACCAGATTGATTTTCTGAATTATTTTAGCATTATAAATATATAAACGAATACAAGAATAGAAATTATGTCCAACATATTATACGCATCAGATTGATACAGAGAGATGGGAACTGTTTGTTAGGGGTGGAAAGTGCCATGGGGAGAGGTTTATCATTCTTTTTATACTTGATATTGCCACAACAGCATTTAGAAACTGTTCAATTTTCATTAAAAATGGGCCACATAAAATTAATGGAGATTTGCCATAGCTAAATTCAGAAATTTAAATTCAGACTCATGTACTACTTGGCAGTTTTCAAAGGTGAGCTATTAAAACAATTGACTGGATCACTACTAAAAGGAGATGTGTCTATTTCCACTTAATCACGGGATGCTGCTGGGACTGACTTGGCACCTGCCACTCCGTAGCTTTTTCAGATATCCTAAGTGGGAAGAATGAACCCGGCAAAGACGGAGGTCCTGGGCCTGTGTCGGAGCGGCTACGAGTTGGGGCACCCTCTCCCTGCCTTCGGTGGGGTACCATTGGTGCCCGTGCGGGAGGTCAGGAGTTTGGGTGTGCTCCTGGACTCCTCGTTAACGATGGAGGCCCAGGTGGCGGCCACTGCCAAGTCAGCCTTTTATCATCTGCGGCTGGCGCAGCAGTTGGCTCCCTATCTCGACCGTAACGACCTGGCCACGGTGATCCATGCGACGGTTACCTCAAGGCTGGACTACTGTAACGCTCTCTACTTGGGGCTGCCTCTGTCGCAAATCCGGAAGCTGCAGCTAGTGCAGAATGCTGCAGCCAGGCTGTTGATGGGTCTTTCCAGGCGAGACCATATCCGGCCTGTGCTGCAAGCGCTGCACTGGCTGCCTATAGCATACCGGATTCGCTTCAAAGTGCTGGTACTTACCTTTAAAGCCCTGAATGGCCAGGGTCCTGCCTATCTAAGGGACCGTCTCTTCCCGTATGTTCCCTCAAGAGCACTGAGATCGGGGATGTTCCATCGGCTGGTAGTCCCAGCCCCCCGAGCAGCGAGGTTGGCCCATACAAGATCTAGGGCATTTTCGGTGGCGGCTCCTTCCTGGTGGAATGAGCTCCCGGAGGAGATCCGGGCCCTGCGGGACCTAGTGCAGTTCCGCAGGGCCTGCAAGACGGAGCTCTTCCGCCAGGCCTTTGGATAGGAGCCGCCGCTACTA